GTGCAGGCTAGGTGGCAGTCTTGGGGAAGGGTTTCCTGCATGCATGTAATACAATTAGACACGTAGGGAGGCGCCATTTGACTTGGCGAATTAGTCCAAAATTAAAAGGTGTCGCCATCCCAATTGGCGAAATAGAGGTGGCATAGGTTGTAGTGTAGGTGCAGGCTAGGTGGCAGTCTTGGGGAAGGGTTTTCGGCATGCATGTAATACGATTGAACATGTAGGAGGCGCCATTTGACTTGGCGAATGAGTACAAAATTGAAAGGTGTCACCATCCCAATTAACGAAATAGAGGTGACATAGGTTGCAGTGTAGGTGCAGGCTAGGTGGCAGTCTTGGGGAAGGGTTTTCTGTATGCATGTAATACGATTGGACATGTAGGGAGGCGAATTAGTGCTTATTGTTGTCTTGTTCAAATTCAGTGCAACCTATTTAATCGTAAATTTATCAAAACACTTCTACACTTAATCACTCAAACACTAGAACATTTAGAAATTCAAACAACCAGGCACTCAAACACTCAAACATTTAAACATTCAAACACTCAAACCTTCAAACCTTCAAACACAATGGTCTCTACACCACAATATGTTATCAGTGCACATTTCAACGGTGAGACATACATTTGTCCAACCTCAGGGTTTTTATTTAGAGACACTGAGAACATCTGATTTTGTTTAAACATGAAAGCAAATTTCTTGTATTTTAAAAAACGATTGGAGGTCAAACTTGGACGAGGTCCCGTGACACAAATCTTCTATCATAATCCGTTTTTTTTTGTAAGAACCAGATGATATATTATAAGGTTGAGGTTCAAGATGATGAGGACCTTCAGAATATGTTTTCCAGTCATGAGTATTCTAGGTACGACTCTATTAAGTTGTACATTGTGTTGCGGGAGCTTCAGCTGTCACGACCAACTCAGTCACAAGTGGTTGATGCTCTCGAAGCCAAACAAGCAGAAGTAGATGTCATTGAAGAAGAAGAGGAAAATGACGAGTTAGAGTTTGAAGACATGGTCAACGATGATTCTGAAGACGATGGGATACCTGGTATACCTCTGAATGAGATCTACACACCACCTTCACACATGACAAACTTCAACATGGGCAGAAATGAACCCTTATCTGATGTTTTTTTCAATCCGTATATGCAGTCGGATGAAAACTTAAAAGAGAAAGACAAATTTCGTAATAGAGAAGATTGTATCCGAGCCATAAAAAAGTTTCACATTCTAAACTCGGTCAATTTTAAGGTAGATCGTGTAAATACATAAAGGTACAAGCTCAGGTGTGTCCACCCAAATAGTATGTTCAAGATCATTGCATCATATAGATTAAGAGGTGATTGTTGGTGAAGGTTCTATGTCCACCCACACGTGCGTCAATTCTACTCAATCACAGGATCATCATAAAGGCATAGTTAGCAAAGACCAAGGCGATTAAAAAGGTATATGGAAACTGGGAGGAGTCATACAAAGAACTTCCCCACTACCTGCATGCACTTCAGACGTATTCTCCAGGTACTGTTTATATTATGGAAACATTGTCAACGTACGCCCTAGATGGTACTCATGTCACCAAAAATGGAATATTCAGTCGAGTGTTCTGGGCTTTTCAACCTTGCATCACAGGGTTTGCATCGTGCAAACCTATTATTCAAATTGATGGGACTTGGTTGTATGGGAAATACAAAGGCACGCTACTGATGGCAGTTGCACAAGACGACAACAACAATATTTTCCCAATTGCCTTTGCTCTCGTCGAGGGAGAGACTGGTGGTGCTTGGAGTTTCTTTCTCAAGAATCTCCGAACACACGTGGCTCCTCAACCAAATCTCTATTTGATTTCCGATAGACATACATCTATTGAGAGTACATATAATAATCCTGCAAACGGTTGGCATGAACCTCATTCTACGCATGTCTACTGCATTAGAAATATCGTACAAAATTTCACAAGGGAGATCAAAGACAAGGCTCTTAGGAAAGAATTTATGAACGCGGGGTATGCATTAACACAACCTACGTTCAAACACTATCGCAACGAGATCAGATTTTCAAATCCGGAAGCAGGTAGGTGGATTGATAATACTCCGGTGGATAAATGGACAAGGTCATACGACAATGGACAACGATTGGGCCACATGACAACAAATCTTATCGAATCCATGAATGGTGTATTCAAAGTCATATAAAACCTTCCAGTAACTGCTTTGGTTAAATCAACATGTTTTAGGATGGCTTCGTTGTTTGCCAAAAGAGGTGAAATTTGGAATGTTGTCTTACAATTGGGACAACTATGGAGTGAAAGCTGCATGAAGTATATTAAGCAAAAAGTTCCAAAGCCAACACCCATTTGGTTATAAGGTTCGACCGACACAGCCACAACTTTATTGTCAAAGAGACAATCCACCATAACGAAGGGCTTCCAATACAAGAGTATAAGGTAATACTATCATCTCGTTGGTGCGATTGTGGCAAGTTTCAAGCCTTTCGTATGCCTTGCTCTGATGTCATTGCGGCATGTGCGTATACTCATCAAGATGCATTACAACTTCTATCTCCCATTTACAAGTCTGAAACCTTGGTCAACGTATACAACCACGACTTTCCATTGGTAGCGAAACCTGATTATTGGCCTGCATACGACGGGGAAATAGTATGGCCCAACGATAAAATGTGAAGGAATAAAAAGGGTCATCCCAAAAGCAAGCGTATCACAACTGAAATGGACTCCATTGACAAGCTAGAAATAAAGTGTGGTTTATGTCGTCAGGTCGGACACAATCGAAAAAATTGTCCCACTCGGGCTACAAGCTCAACAACATAAAAATTATATGCAAACCATCTTTACTTTTTAAAGTTCTAAACATGATTGTTTTTCATTAAGATCATTTGTTACAATAAACCATACGCAAACAACAAATAAAAACACGATAAAACGTCTAAGAAATTACAACCGTCAAAACAATTTCATCTGAGCCATGCATCATCACCATTACGTCTTCGTCTGTTTTGACTTCCTCCAACCAAAAATTAGGTCTTCCAGTTGCAAGTGAGGTGTTTGTTCTTCTTCTCCTTCTAATTTGTTCTTCATCCTTAATGTCTCCCTCTAGCCATCACATCAACTCTCTCTTCAGACACTCCATGGAGTGAATGTGCCAAAATTTTATTTTCATCCGAGGTTTGGTGGCCGAGAAAATAACGTATCCATCTCTGGTGAAAAGCATGGGAGATGTCATGACGCAAATAACAAAGAAAAAATAAGAAGACAATGCGAGAAAGTGTGAAGAATGACGGAGAATCAGATCATTTATTTATAGAAAACAACATTTGCCCTAGGCGCCAAGTGAGATGACGCCTCCTCTCACTTTTGAAGTGCATGCGCTATCTCACTTGGCTAAAAGTTAGAGCATGCACCAAGTGTGATGGCGCCTAGGACATAATGATAGGTGCATGTGTCAACTGGGTTGGCTCATCCTTTGTGGAGTTTTCTGAAACATGGTTATTTGCGTAATTTTTTCTGAAACATAATTATTTATGTATTTTTTTTCAAAACCTAATTATTAAAAAAAAAATTCACAAACAGTTGATAGAATTACCCATAGAATAAATTTTCTTGAAAATATTTTAAATTTAAATAATTAATATAAAATTAAATTACCTTAATTGATTGAAAGTATATTATCTAAAGATTAGGTAGATAAATTGTCAGGTAAAATTTATCGAAAAATTGTTGGATCAACTTTGATATATTGTAATCTAGGGTCTATTTGTTTTAAATTAAAAAAAGTTAATTTTTTTATTTTAAAAAATTATATTTATAAATATGTTTTTCAAAACATTAGAATTTTTTTTAATCACGTAACCGTAATTTTATTTCTACGGTGAATGAAACACATTTCATGTGAATAAATCAGGTGATTTTGAGATACTCACCAAAACATGATTTGCAAAACAAGCACAAATTATAATAAGGCTGGCATGGTATGCATGCTAGAGAGAATCACATTACTTTATTTATGTAACTGATATGTACAAAAAATATATATTATTATTTTTAAAATATTAAAACTATTAAATTTTCTCTAATTTTTTAAAATTAAAAATAAAATCAATATATTTTAAACTATTTTTAATGGAATAAATTATTAATAATAATTTAATAAGTTTTAGGAAATTCTTATTTATGCGTCACAAATTGTTGGGTAGAGACATAAAAATATTATTTTTGTGAAAATTTCAAATTTAAACAATTTAATAAACAATTTAAATATAATAAAATTAAATGATATTAAGAGATTGATTGGAAGATATACTATCCAACTTTTAGATATAGATAAAATTAAAAGTTAATTTTTTATTTAAAAAAATTATATTTATAAATATGTTTTTCAAAACATTAGAATTTTTTTTAATCATGTAACCGTAATTTTATTTCTACGGTGAATGAAACACATTTCATGTGAATAAATCAGGTGTTAGAGATGCTTCAATTATCACCAAAACATGATTTGTCTAAATCAGTGAATAAAACAAGCACAAATTATAATGAGACTAGCATGGTATGCATGCTATAAAAGAGAGAATCACATTACTTTATTTATGTAACTGATTTATTCACATAATTATTCATATACTCACGTTTAAACGACTAGCAAATCAATTTGAAGTTAAAGTTTGTAGTAAATTTTTTTTTAATTTTAAAGAAATAATTGAGTCTTTCTTTAAGTATAATTTCTCCCTCGGATCACCTGTATAAATTTTAATCATTTTCTAAAGTTAAAAATCATAAATATTTTTCAGCAATAGTCTTTTGCAATTTCAAAAAATACGACGTCAAAGTTTTCAATTCCAATCAAAATCATCTCGTTCTTGCTTTTCATAACCATTAACATAGCTAATGGTAAAGCTCAACCAAATCAATCAACTTTAGTGTTCTACCTACAAGATATCGGAAAAGGACCTGAAGCAACCGTTTCATCGGTTATAGGCATCAATGGTAAGGTTTGGTCGTATAACACATTTGGAATAATATTTGTTGTTGATGATCCTATTACATTAAGTCCTGATCCATTTTCAACTTAAATTGGAAAGGCTCAAGGTACAATTACAGTAACTTCTCAAGATGGCGCGAATGTGAATATAGTTTTATCAATTGTGTTCAATAATGTGCAATATGCTGCTAGCACTTTAGAAATTCAAGGTACAAGTCGTCAACGTGATAATTTAAGAGAGCTCGGCGTTGTTTCTGGAACAGGAAGGTTTCGTTTTGCAAGGGGATTTGCTGTATTTGAAACTATATCTTATAATCCTACAAGTACTCAGTCTATTATTAGGTTGACTGTAACCTTGACAATACCTTGAAAACTTATGTCTTATGACATGGTTAATGCTCGTTAAAATCGAACATCATATGAATGTTTGATGATGCAAACTTTATATATGTACCAATAAACTAAAATCAAAGAGCATTATATGAACATTTTATCTTATTAGTTTTTTTTCTTATTAGTATTATTTTTTATTGCATGTCCAACTTGGATCGTGATAGTATAGACTGAAAAATATTTAATTGGTTAAATTGCACCTCAACATGTTGAATGTAATGTAGTTTTAAAATTCTAAATGTCACAACTTTGAGGGCAAGCTATTGCTTGTAGGGGTAATGTTGCAGTTTTGTCCTTGCTTTTACTTTTAAATGGACTATCAAATGCTCATATTTAGAATAGTACTTTGCGGAATTTAGATAGACTTAGGTGTACTTTGAGTAGAAGATATAATCACTTTAGTGTATTTTTGTCAAGCACGAGACAGAGAGAAACATCCAACAAATCTTGAAGTATGGGAATTGTGTCTTAATACGTCTGGATGAATACATTGTAAAAGTATAAAAGAATTCTTGTAAATGTGCATGATTAATCTCACACATATAAACAAATTTTCAAACTTATTTTTCTTAATAAAATATTTTCAAAAAATCTTAAAGTTATGTCAGATGAATTGAGAGTTGTCAGAATAGTTGTTGGCAAAATTTTGTCTCTACTAATAGGTTGGCGCCTTATCACAATCAATTAAAAAAGTTCAAAAATGGCACCTAAGCGATTAGGGCAATATCTTAATGATGGATAACACACACACACACACACACACACACACACACACACACACACACACACACACACACACACACAAACACACATATATATATATATATATATATATATATATATATATATATATATATATATATATATATATATATATATATATATATATATATATATATATATATATATATATATTTCCTTGCCATTTGTAACTCAATAATCAGTTATTTATAAGGCCACTAATCAATTGGTACATACTGCGAATCGGTTGGCAAGTCATAAAAAGCCTTATAAACTATTTATCTTTTGTGTCAACCTCTAACCTATTAATAAAGGTCATTTCCCACTTCTCACACTCTCTTAAAAATATTCTTTTGTTTACTTTCTCTCAGTAAAAGTTTAGCCATAATGCTTTTTGAGAAAGCCCTTTTATGGGTGAGGAAGCTGTAATTTTGGAAGGCTAGTTTTCTAAGTTCACAAAGAAAGTTTTTGTTTTTACTTTGATTGAATATTTTATCCATTTAAGGATTATTTATTTAAGTTCGAAGTTAAACTCACAAAAAACTTTGGTGTGGGGATCGTGTGATAAAGCCTCTGTTTAGGTTCTTGCTTAGATCGTGCTAAAACAAAGTTCAGGTTCAAGCTAAGCCTGTGATAAAAGCTTCGTTAAGTTAGATTAGAATGTGCTAAAATCTCATAGGTTATTGGTTAGACTGGTATAAAACCAATTTTAGGTGAGGGAGCTCAACCCGAATATAAAAGCTCTACAAGGTTCAAGATAAGCCCTTGATAAAACCTTTGTTTAGAAACTCCAACAACTATGAACAACTATTTAGAACGAGTAATCATTTAATTAAGGAGAATGATAAACTGAGAGAACGTGACTTAGGTCTTAAAGAGTCTTTAAGGTATCTTGAAGAAAACAATAAATTATTCAAGATAGAAATAACTAAGATAAAAAATTCAAGAAAAGTTTAAGAGAATTGTGTCTCTTTGAAAAAAGAAGTATATGACTTCCATGAAACCCTAGATATGTAAGTTTAACCATGGGAAGTAAAATCTTGATTTAATCTTTTCAAGTCAAAGGCCTTCCTTAAACAAAAATGGGCGAAGATTTTAAAAGGAAAGAAAACCTAGTAAATATATAGATCACAAGATAAAGAATCATCCATTTTATAAATGCATGTATTGTATAAGAGTTGGCCATTTAGAGCTCTTTTGTTCAACAAATTGAAAAGATCTAAATGCAACAACCTTAGATATTATAGAACTAATGCACATGAGCCCAAGAATTTGTGGGTACCAAAGGTGAAACCTTAGTACTTTGCATATATGCTTTGCAGCTTGAAGCCTTAAAAGAATTATCAATAGAATTGTGCAAAGCAAGATTATACTTCCAAGTACACAGTTTTGATAAAGTCTCTAATCCAAGAAAGCACGATAAAGAAAAAAAATTCAATTATAGTGATCAAATAAAGTGTTTTTAGAATATCTCAAGGTTTATGACCCTTAGTGATTAATTGAGTGGATATGCTTGTAGTGGGTGTATTCATTTTGCTTGTTATACCAACTCCCGCAGTCAATGATGTGTAGAGAAAGATACACCATACTATGATTGATGTTTCCATTTAAGGGGAGTATTTATTGAGATATCTTAATACAAGAAGTATACATTATTTTAAGGACAAATAAATCAAAAAACTCTGATTAATCCTTAAAAATAGTGAAGATTATATTGTATTAAGGTTCATGGGCATAACCTTCAAAATCTAAAAGTTTATAGTCGAAATCCAAGAAGATCTCTTGGGGACAGAATTAGGCCAACGTTCAGCCAAACCTGTATAAACTTGTGGTGTAATTTCTCTAAACCTATTGTTTTAATTTCTGAAATTTACTTTCAATATTTAATTCCTGGCGCTAGTTACTCAACCAAAATTACTAATATGATTTTAATCGAGAAATGTACAAAATTAATCACGAATTTTAAATTCCACAATTTCTAACACCTCAAATTTTGTTATTTTCTTTTGATTTATTTATTTTAATTATTTTAGTGTGATTTAGATGTGTTACGAGAACTGTTTATTAAATAACAATAGATAATTAAGAAAATAGGTGTCTTTAGAAAGAACTGGGAGTATGGTGAGAATTAGTAAGAAATATTAATAGTAATTGAATTTGTTTGAGTAATTATTATTATTTGATTAGAATATTATTTTAGTTGGAATAGAAATAATAAGTTTATAATTTTGTTTAATTAATTAAATTTAAAGGGATATTAGAGTTGAGGTAAATAATTAATTTTATCAGAATAAATAAATATTTGTGTGATATTTATTTAAATTAGAGAATTATGGGATTGTAATAAAATAATTATTTGATAGAATTATTATTTTATTAAAATAATAAAATATTAGATTATTTTAATAAAGTACTGAATTAGGGTAATATAAATAGAAAAGTTAGATGAGACTTTTGGGGGAACGTGAAATTGGGAAAAAGAGAAAGCGGCTGAAAAACCTAAGGATAATGATCGTAGGAAGGCGAGTGAGGTATAATCCCAACAGCAAGAAAACTCAACGATCAACACTTTTAAGGTAGGGGTAATTCTTAACTTGTTTGGTGTTTAGGCAATAGGATGGGTATGGGTCTTAACCCTCCAATCATATTCGTCCCCATTATTTTTTGTGTTTTGGTTGATGTATGATTATGGCCAAAAAGGATTTAGGAGAAACCCTTTGAAGTGACCAATTGGTGTATGTTTGTATTTCCATGATAATATATATAATTTCTATATTTGAATCCATATTGATATTGTTGATATTACTGATATTGATCCGTGGGTGTGTCCCTTGGGGATTTTTGTTGATATTTGAATGATGATTTATCTGTGATGTGTATTTGTTGAGTTTCAAGCGATCGATGATCGAGTTACACTAACACAACTAAAATCACAAATGACCTATTTTTTCAAGAGAATAAAATAGCAGGATAAACTAAAAATAAAAAATAAAGGAAAAGTCCAAAATTTTAAAAATTAAAAAAATAGGGTACGGACTGTATGGACTACGTGTAGACTATACCAATTGTACATACTACATGCAGACTGTGCATACTAGAATTTTAGTGGTGGTTCATGGGTCGGCAGGTTGTGGTTCAGGTTTTCAGATTCAATGTCCTGATTGACGAGTTTCGAGATATTTTTAAGTTTATTGGCTTTTTCGTTACCCTGTTGATAAGTCTAAGAGAAAAATTTGTTGCATCAGAGTTTTTTTGAGTAAAATCATTATTTGAGTGAGACTGCCAACAAATAGAGTAATTTGAGAGTTCATATCAACATATAAGAGTTGTCAATTGAGCACTTTTGGGCACTCTAGAGTATTTAGAGTTGTTTTGGAGTTGTAGAGATTGTTAAAGAGTTGTTTAGAGTTTGCCTTGAGAACTATTTTTAGTTAAATACAAAGATTGTCACCATTTTGATGAGTTGCGAGTATAAAATAAATAAATATTAATATGTTGATATGTTTTGAGTATTTTTATGAGTTGATGAGTAATATGAGTGTTGTGTAAATTAAGTTGTTGAGAAATAATATAATTTTTCTTTGTTATAGATTGTTAATATAATTAATGAGTCGTAATTATATTGTTTAGTTGTGGTTTCATGGAAAAACCTTTTTATTATGAGTTGAATTGTTCAGAGAGAACTACAATGTTGGCCTTGCATTGGAAAATTTGTGGTTCAGAGAGAAACTTGTTTTGAGTATGAGATATGAGTATTGTTGTTGCTGAATATGAGATTGAATAATTTTTGTTATTGATTTTTGAATGGTAATGTTGTTTCCGTGTTCATGCACTCATGTATATGAGAGAAGGAGAAACGAGGTCAAGTATTCAGAGAGAACCAATGAAGGTCTCATTATTCAGAGAGAACGAGGTTTTAGAGAGAGACCGCAGACATGGATGATTCGGTAACTCAACTCGGACATCCAAAACACTTGGTACCACATGCATTTGGAGGAGGATTGCATAACATGTCATGAATTAGAACATGTATCCCTACAACTGAATCTCTACACGGCTATCATTTGAACTTTCTTTATAGAACATTAAATTTTAAATTTTTTGGTCTGTAGACGAAGCGGTAATAAAAATTAGAACCCATACCCACAATTGTGAGTACCAGGGTCAAACCCTGATGATGTCATCCAACCTAACAATATCAACTTATTTCAGTTGAGTTAGGATTTTTAGACATTA